GAGTGTGAGTGTGAGTGAGAGAGAGAGAGAGAGAGAGAGAGAGAGAGACTGTGTGTGTGAATCAGCTGCTAGTGAAAATCAGATTATAATGAGTTAAAGTTAGTTTACTGACTCACATACAGTGAAAGTCCGTTTGATTCTGGTGGTGTTTTAAGTCACAGTGACATTGATTGATTGATTGATTGATTGATTGATTGTGTTCCGACATATTTATCAGATCAATAAACAGGATGATTGTCTCAGTTCAGCACATAGACCCTGTGGGGACATTCAGTATTGCAATACAACATTTTTCTATATTTTAAAATAAAATAACCACAAATATTGTATTATATTTAGTTTTGTGATATTGTATTGATTCTCAGAAACACTGTATTGATTTCTGTATTTAAACCCCCATTATGAGACAGCAGTGCTGTAAACTTTTATGCATATTGTGTCTTTGTACTGTGACAGTTTTGCCAAAATAGAACTATTTTTAGAATTGATTAGGTATTGTACCTAAGAGATTTGAAGTATAAAGTAAAAAGTCCAAACTGAACTGTAGTACTTGAGTAAATGTACTTTTTACCACCGCGTGTATGTGTAGGTTGGTTTGATGACGCGTCTCTACCTTTGTCGTCAGGTGGAGCGCCCGTCTAGGAAGCGGCGCGACTCCTTCGGTATGCTGGACGGTTTGGAGGAGGACCGGAGCAGCTGCAGCACCGAGTCCAGCGGGGGAAGCGGAGCCTCCAGCCCCGAGGACAGCGACGAAGAGGAGCTGGGAGGAGGAGGAGGAGGAGGAGGGTTGACACAACTCACCCCCTCCTCCTCCTCCTCCCTGACGCTCATCAAGACCAACGGGCAGCTGTACACCTACCCTGATGGAAAGGCCGGCATGGGTTAGTTAAAGCCAGATTCTTTCTCTGAGGTGCCATAAAAACACATCAATGAGCCTTGGTCACCATGAACACACACCGTATACCCCGTCCTCTGTCCCGAACGCTCTACTAGAGCACCAAATGTGGATTAAAATAGTCCCCTACAAGTACACTATTTCTTCCTGTTTGTTTGATTTACAAACTACAGCAGTTTAAGCAAATTAATAAACCATTTTAAACAGTTGCCAAATGATCCTGCTTAGTTTGAAGTTTGTAAATTTTGTCCCAGTTCAACTTTCCGTCTGATACTGACGGGAATGTTTGAATAATGAGGAGTCTCTAATGTGTATTTTTTAAAGTGACTCAGTTTCTTTTTGTCTGTATTTTTCTCAGCGACCTGTGAGATGTGTGGTATGGTGGGTGTCAGAGATGCTTTCTACAGTAAAACCAAACGTTTCTGCAGCGTCTCCTGCTCTAGAAGTTACTCCTCCAACTCCAAGAAGGCCAGCATCCTCGCCAGACTGCAGGTACGACGCACTCTGACTGACTGTCCACCCAGTGAAAGACTTTTAGACCAGAGTGGTGTGAGACTCGTGAAGTGTTGTAATGTGCGCGCACTGCACATGTGCACGTCCTTTTTTGTAACTCTATTACATGTTATCCGTTATTCCCCCAGGCCTGAGTACATAGTAGTATTAAATGGTGTCATCTGCATATAAATAGATTTGAGGTATATAGTCGCATAAAGTAATGTAATCCGCCTTAAAATAGATATTGTGGTGGTATAAAATAGTGTCATACATAACGTAAACGTGTAAATTAGAGTTATCTGCATAAAGCTAGATATTAAATATTTACAGATGGAATATTATTTATATAAATGTAAAAATAATTGGTCCGAAGATAGAACCTTGGGACCTTTTGTCATAAGTAAGTAATTAGATTACACTGTTTTCTGTCCAGGAAGTAGTTGCTGAACAATTTGTGAGTATTATGACCAAAAGCTGTGGGTGCTAGTTTGTTTTAGAGCGAGGATCAACGTGTCCAACGTCTTTTGATAAGTAAACATTGTTTTTTGTTACCTGGAAGGAGAGTCTATCTAACTCTCTCTTAAAGGGGAAGCCACCCACTAAGAAGGCCAAGGTTCTGCAGAAACAGCCTCTGATGACCAAACTAGCTGCCTACGCTCAGCAGCAGGCCAACCAGCAGAGTGGTGTCAAGAAAAGCGGTGAGTCCTCGAAAGGGTCTAACTTCCTCTGTTATGGAGTCAGATTCTGGTGGCGGATTGCATAACAACTGACAACAGTCTGGATTTAAACAAACTACTGTGGGAAATATATATATATATATATATATATACACACACACACGTATAACATTGATTATATATAAAGATGGACGGTTGTATGTTATATATAACCTAGAATTGTTATCTTTATGCAGTGTTATCTACATAAAGATAGATATTGCAGTAAATAGTAGTATAAAAAAGTGTCATCACTGGTTGCGGTTTTAGTCATAAAGCGGCCATGTTACCAGATGGGACATGGGCCATTTTTGAGACTTGGCAGCGGCCATAATATTTAAGCTTCATTGTTGCACAGTGGGAGGAAGTGGAGCGGCATTGTTCATCTTTATATAGAATCTGTTACATATATACACACACCATCCGAACAAAAGATAATTTATGAATATAATATACAACAATTATACATTTAAAAGATTTAAAAAATAAGACCCAGACATCCAGGCAGTGTTCATGTTAGACTCAACAGTTTGCTGTCAGTGTGCAACATTTTTATTTGTTTGTTAGTTTGTTGTGTGTTTGCTGCAGTAACTGTGGAGGTGTTTGACTGGGGTCGTTACCTTGGAGACGGAGATGTGATGGGAGCACCGGTCAGCTGCTTCAAACATGTGGGTGCATCTCTCTCTCACACACACACACACACACACACACACAATTTCTGCTGTATAAAGATATTCTGTTAAAAGCAAAAAGTGGACTATCAAGATTTCACTTCAGTAAAAGTACTTTTATGGCAGAGTGGCTCTTTTCATATATTATGATTATATTATATTATGACTATATCCTAATATGATGCTATAACAGGCCTTTCAGTGTTACTGCTGGTCGAGCTCATTATCTAATCATGTTTCATGAATTGATCATATGTTTTGTTTGCAAAGTCTGTAAAGTTGAAGCTGTATAAACAGTTTTTAGAAAAAGAATAAACCACCGTGGGCTGTCACTTTGACAGAATCCTGGTTTCTGCAGGATTCTGTTAAACTACTTTTATCTTTACTTTTTTTTTCTTTTTTTTTTTTCTGGTTGTTTAGGTCTCGATGGGAAAGTCGTGGGGCGATGTCAGCGAAGGCGTACGAGTCGAAGTCCCAAACACTGACAGCGGTCTGCCCATGAAGGTTTACTGGATTGCTGGCATCATCAAACTGGCTGGTACGAGTCATTTCATGTTTCTGATTTTAATTTAAAGAGTATAATGTCCATATAGTTTATTACTGTATTGATTATAATCTGTTAAACTGCGGTAATGATTGTGAATGTGTCAGAACAAGCAGCAACACAGTGTAACCTCACAGAGTCTGTGCTGCTGTCTGTCTGTCTGTCTGCAGGTTTTAAGGCCTTGCTGAGGTACGAGGGCTTCGACAGCGACTCCACCAGAGACTTCTGGTTGAACCTCTGTGTGCCAGACATCCACCCGGTCGGCTGGTGCGCTGCTGGAGGAAAACCTCTGGTCCCCCCTCAGAGTAAGAACCTCCTGTCTGAACCCTGCTGATTGATTGACAACACATATAGTGCATGTATAAATCTGTCCCAGAGTCCATGCACTGTTTCCTCTGATTTATGACACTTGATAGTTGCACTACTTGTACTTTTTGTACCTATGTCTTTAAGATATCTGTGTTCTTTAGTTCCTGGTGTGATTACAGTACACAGTACAGCTTTCTCAGTTAAAATATGTTTTTTGGGAGGAGTTTTGACTTGGGTTGAGGGTGTTAAGTACAGCAGGTGTTCAATGTTGAACAGATTGTAAAGCCCGCTGAGGCTGACTTTGATTTTTGGGTTACATAAATAAAACTTCCACCTGTGGATCCTTTATCCGATAGATCCTGTTCAACCAGTTCAGTCTAATGAAAGTTGTACAGCAGAGGGCTGTTTCATAAAAGGAATCAGAGATAACTGAAAAAGTGAGGCCTGAGCTGGTCTAGTCACAGCTTCCTGGAGGTTTCACTTAGGCTAATGGCCTCAGTATGCTCGCCGTTAAGTCAGGCTGAAGAGGTAAAACCAGGTTTGAGGATTTTGGTTAAATATTCATGAAACCATGAACATGTCAGGACAGTGTGTACACAGTGACCTGCTGCTTACTCAGTTTTGTTTCTTGGTTTAATTTATTAAAACCCCATTCCTTTATGTATTGAAGAGGCTTCTAGGAAAAGTGTTAACATTTATTAAATACTAATGTGACTGAGGACATTTAGGTTTACAGCAGGATGCTTTATAGTTACAGTACAGAGCTCCAAACTAACTTCATCACCTTGTTCCCAAAAATGGAGCGAAGCCTGCGAGCTAGTTCAGGCAGTCAACTCGAGCTGCGGTGATTACACACATGACATTCCTTATTCCATAATCACTAACCAA